GTTTGTGGTTTTATATACTAGCCAACATTTATGAAAATGAAAATTAATCCAGAGCAAAACCCAAACTTATTAAGGACAAAACAAATATTTAGTCAAATAAAGCAATTCTGGGTTCCTTAAATGTAAAGCTATTTAGATATTTATTTATGCTTATTCCACATTGAAGTAAACAGATGGCAGACCCCCTGTCATAATATCACGTGAGAGAGAGACAGATGCACGGGACACTTTTTAACCACAATAAACTTCCCCTACATTAATCATTGGCTCCTCTGATTAAAATTGCCTTCCAGTGATATAGGAAAGATGAACATGAAGATCTATGAAAATTCATGGAAATAAAACACTGATATGATTCTAGGGATTGCATGAGAACCTCTTAAAATATTCTTTGTAAATATGAAGGGATGAAAATATAGGAATCCAAGGCATGCACACTTTCCTTGCAATTATTTCACATTTTGTGTTTGAGTTCATTGCTTAACAGCAGCAACAAGAAATTGTCTAAAGAGGAAGAGTGACTCCTTGGACCATTATACAGCTCCACTGTGTGCAAACACTAAAATGTTCTCCTCTTCTCTTCAATAAAATAAAAAAAAAAAATGTGTTTTCCAAATGTACTTGAATAATTGGAAAAAAATTGAATTTATGTATTCTCATTTTTCTAAAAAATCAAGAAAATAAACAAAATGGCTGAAGCAGCTAATACCTAAAATTATGTGAGATCTAATTCAGTTGTACTTAGAGTCTCATTCTCTAAGTACTGTAGATTCAGTGGCCCCAAGATACTTAATACCTAATTCCTATTGACCTGTAAAAAGCCTGTAGCCTCTGATCTCACAACACGACAGAAGTAAATGTGGGCTTTGGAGCAGTGCTGGGACTGCAAGGGTGAACCTCAAGTGGCCGTGACACTTGCAGTGCCTTGGCAGAACACGTTTCATCTGCCATATGGATAGATTAAGTATCCAGCGAGTCTGTCCTTGCAATGATGATGGAAAAAAGCCCCCAATAAACTATTTGGGTACTTCCACACAGGGCCCCAGTGCCACTTCCTGTACAAGAAATGACACCTGAGAACAGACATCCAAGGGTAGTATGGATGTCTCATACCCTTGAACAGCCCAGTATTTCAGGGATAGCACTGCCTAGGGCAGAGCAGACAGCATAAAAAGCACTAACCTGCTTCTTTACATCACCTTAAAGATAGATTCACTTTAAATTAATGAAAACTGCTGCTTAATTCCTCCTGCCTTGCCCTCTACCTACTGATGTGCCTGGGAGCACAGACCAAACCAACCACACACCTATCTGCTCCCTCTCCTCCCCTGTAATTCACCCCAGCAAATTCAGGTGGGTCTCTGCTTAACTGGTTTCTTAAATTAAGCACTGTGATGGAAATGTATGTTGCATTGCCCTGCATTCCCTCACCTTACCTAACCCTCAGTTAGGCTCTGACAGTTTTGAAAATAAGACATGGGTTCCAATGTCCTAAGAGTACTTTATCACATGTTTCCACTGATGCCTGTGTTGGAAGAAGAGACATTAAATACAAGCAAAAGAAGCTCTCAGTGTGTTCAAGGGAAAGATGAGACCAAGCAGTACATTCTGACATTTGTTTTCAAGTAAGTTTCAATGTGTATTTGGGTTTGCTGTATCTGCATCACTGTCCTTATAAATTGCCATCGTTTTCTTTTATGAAAGATGTCGCATGGAACTGTCTTCCTGAACAAAGTGTGTTGAAATGCCTGTTTGTTTCTTTCACGTGAGGATTGGTAATTTTCAAAGGACGCACCAATCCTTCAAGGAGCTACACACACGGGACCAAAGTGAAACTCTTGATCCCAAGTGACATAAATATTTGCTTATTTGTTATAATTTAATCTCACAAGGTTTTGTATTTCCTCTTTGGTATTTCCTGCTATGGTATCTCTTAGCTAAACTAAGAGCTTTCGTTTTTTGTACTGATGCACGCGGGCAAACCCTAAGGGCAGGATTCCCAGGCTGAGATCCACAGCCCAGCTGCACTCTGCAGCTTACTGAAAGTTATCCAGGGACAACTGCCATGCCATGAATCTGTGGCATGATATGACCAGGGGTCATGTTTATCCCACTGAAAACAGTGAAGGCCCCCATGACCAGGGATATTCTGAGAATTAAGAATATCAGTGGGACTGCAGCAGATGAGAACGTGGCCTAACATAGCAGTTTGGTCCAGATGAGAAAAGGGATAAATGCAAAAGGATGCAAACCAGGATTGGAGAAATGCTATTTGTGAGGGGTTTTTTCTTGACCACAAAACTCCTAAAATCACCACTATGGATAAAACCTGTGACTCTGATGGGTTTATTTCTCTGCTGTGCATTGAGACCAGGACCTGTGGGTCACTCAGAGAGACATTTTCCTGGCATTAAGATACACAGAAGCTGACAACATAAAGAAGGCAAAGATTAAGTCAGAGATGGAGCAGAGGAATTGACTGAAACAACACAAATGCTCATTAATGCTCCAACTGGTTAAGAAAATGCACAGAGTGTCTTGGGAAAAAATTAATGGCAATTTATAATGACAACAGTACCAGGCACTGGAAAACATCAGGTTTCAATGCACATTGAAACTTACCCTAGAACTGCCTTCAATGTCCCCTGATTTCCTGATCTTTGAACGACACAGGTTCTTTAGTGCTAATATGACAGCTCCTGACAAGCTAGCAGGCTTCACAGCCTAAAATCAGAGGTCTAATGGCAGATATCCATAAAAAATATTCACAGTTTTACAGCTTTAAAGAAATAATTCCTGTTTCAAATGGAAAGGATGACAACAGTTTCAGAAAAGAACCAACCCCTTTTCACCTTCTAAAATCTTAGGTGATTTCTCAAGAAAAACTTCTTCCTACAACTTAGCCCATATATAACCTGAAAGCCCAGATAATTAATTTTAGAGATGTGTGAGAACCAATGAACAGCATTACGAAGTCATCTGTAAGTATCACAGACTTGCCACCAGTTATATAATTCTGAAGTACCAGAGCCATCCTGAGGGTCCAAGCAATATTAAAGTGTTACCTGAGACACCCTTTTTCCTTTACACTAATAATCTAGGTGACAAGGTTACTGGCCCACCACTGCACATGCTGCCTTCAAAGGATGAGACCAGATCAAGTACTGAAGATCTTAAAAAAGATCTCACAGGAACTCGATGCCCATGTTATTAGACTGTCTGTCCAGGGGTGATTCACTTAAACTCTTCAGAACACCCACCCTTAATTTTTCTCACTTCACACACTGCTTGACTACACTTGTTGGCCCCACTCCCTACGCTCTGAGTTCAGTGTATTGCATTATATTTCACCAGGCAACCTTTTTTTTAGCCTGAAGATAACACAGATCTGATGACTGATGAGGTATCACTTCATAAGGGCATACTTTCCACAAAAATTTATTTAAAAGGTCTCTATTGTCCATTATTGGTACTCAGAAAGATCCAAAACATCATAATCAATTCCTGTTTCATGCATGTACTCTGTCACCATAATTTCCTTCTACAGAAATTATACAAGAATGCATGATACTGTAAATACTGGTATCATATTGTCACTCTTTTCTTTAAAATCTTTTAAAATGTCAGACTACACAGAGTAATATATTCAAACAGGTTGTTATAGGTGAGCTTTTGACAGAGAAATCTTAAACAGCCTCTACGAACACACGGCAGTAACTACATCTGAGCTAACTTTCCCTATTAAAACTGCTCCAAAAGCTTTCTATGAACAAATTAACAGTCTTCTTTAAAGCTGAATCAAATTATAACATGAGCAAGAAGAAAACATTAATTTAGGTCAGCTCCAATGACTGCTGCTATTTCTTGTCATATCAGAACAATGTCTCAACTATAGTGTTAAATTTAATTACTGAAGTTTGATGTTTAAATATGTTTTAATTAGCATCGGGACTGAATTCTGGTGTTAAGTGATCTAATTTCCAGTACTAAACTGTTGCATACATCATGCATTCTCACATCTTGATACTGCCTCCACAATTCTGTGATTGCATTTATGTAGAGCTGCTATTAACTTTCTACCACCTTGCCAATGATGCATACCATGCTGAGGTAAGGAGAGATCTTTCCTGCTGGGAATAATAACAGATTTAAATAAGAAGCAAGGAAACACTCGAAATTTTAAATGAGCACATGAAAAGAAGGACAGCTCCAGAACCTGAACTCTTGGGGTACAGCAGCCTTGTAAAGTTGCCTACACGGTCTAAGGGAGTCTTTAAGCAACGAACATCAGAGGAGTTATTTTAAGTATCACTCTCCCGGCCATCCCTCATTCTCCTGTCCCCGCAAAAACCGCAGCTCTTCGAGACTCTCTTCTTCCTTACACATCCTGAATCGAACCGGCAACTCCTCACCGGACTCTTAAAGTTGAGAAAAGCGGGATTTGCCGTTCCTAAGCGCAGTAACCCGTCCGAGGCCAGGCCCTCAGGGCAGCGTGGGGCCGAGCGGTCACTGAGGAGCCCGCCGGGGGCTGCCATTCCCGGCGGGAGCGGCACCGGAGAGGCTGGGACCGGCCATCGCTCCGCGCCGCCGGCTCCTTGGAGCGCGGGCCGCTCCTCTGCATTCACTACTGGGAACAGACAGCTTTTGGGACCGCAACACGGCTTGGCCATCGCACGCCTCCCACCGCCGCTCCCGCCACCCGCACACATGTGGCAGCCGCGCCGGTGCCCGGGCGCGCCCGGACCTGTCGGGAGCGCGGGGGATCCGGGTTTTTAACGGGCGGACCAGGGATCCCGCCTGGCTGTCACCGCACTGCCCCGGGTACTTGCAGGGCACGGCACGGCACAGCCCGCCTCGGACAGCCTTCGCTCGCCCTTTCCCTGACGCTGCACAAAGGGACCCGCCGTGAGGCGGCACCGGCCGCCCGCGGGCTCCTTCCATCGCCCCCGGCCCAGCGGCCCCGCAGCACCCGGGGCGGGCCGCGGCCGGGCCCGACTCACCAGGCGCGGCTGTGGGCAGGTGTGTTCCAGCTCCTCCATGGTCTCGGAGGGGGATTTGGGGATGCCTCTTCCTGACTCAGCACCGGCCGCACGCACTGGCATGGCCGCCGCCCGGGCCCGCCCGGCGCGGGGGGTCTCCCCGGGAGCCGCCCGGGGGCTCGGCCGCTCGCGTCGCCACGGCAACCGGCGGGCCCCGCCCCGCTCTGCGCGCGCGGGGGCGGGGCCGGCTTATTTGCATGCGGGCTCCTGGTTGGCTGCTGCCCCGCCGCGCCACCGCGCGCTGCCCACGGCGGCTCCTCGGGCGGGCCCCGCCCCCGCGAGTCTCGGGGGGCCGGAATGTGCCCGGCTGGAGGGGACCGGGGACGCCGGGGAGCACCGGCTGGGACCTACCGGCTCCAGCAGGGCCGTCCCACAGCACATGGCACAGCACTGCGTCCAGAAGGTTCTTGAGCATCTCCAGTGAGGGAGACTGCACAACTTCTCTGGGCAATCTGTTCCACTGAGCGGTCACCTGCACGGTGAAGAAGTTCTTCCTCATGTTCAGGTGGAACTTCCTGTGCATCAGTTTCTGCCTGCTGCCTCTTGTCCTGAGCTTGGCAACCCCGAGAGGAGCCTCCAAAAGGCTCCGTCCTCTTGACGTCCCCCCTTTATATATTAATGTGTATTTTTATACACATAAATAAGGTTCCCTCTCAGTCATCTCTTGTAGACGCTGAACAGGCCCAACTTCCAAATCTTTTCTTTGTTAGAGAGGTGCCGCAGTCCCTTAATCATATTTGTTGCCATTCACTGACCCACTCCAGGATCTCCAGGTCTCTCTTTTCCTGAGGAGCCCAGAACTGGACGCAGCACTCCAGAGACACTCATCCCACTGGGGCTGGGTGGAGGGGCAGGATCACCTCCCTGACCCTGGCAGTGCTGTTCCTAATGCACCCCAGGATCCCACTGGCCCTGTTGGCCCCAGGGCGCTGCTGGCCCGAGCCCCGAACCGCGGGGCAGCAGGCGCGCTCGCTGCCGGAGCGGTGCGGGCCTTCGGGAGGCAGCATCGGCGGCTGCACAGCCGGGCCGGGCGGCCTCGGTAACCCTGCAGAGCGAGCCGCGGTGAGGTTTGGCTGGTCGAGGAGCAGCCCGAGGTGCTGACCGGACAGCTCCCGCCTGCCGCGCCGCGCCCCGCCGGGCTGCCCGAGAGCGCCTGCCCGCCCCACTCCCCGCGGAGGAGCACCGGGCTGGGAGTACCAAATTCTTGGTGCTGAAAAAATTAATTGCCTTTTAGTGAAAGCTATTATAACAGTTTGGGCAAAAGCGTGGTTCTGTTCTTCCGAGAGATGGATAAAGAACATGGCTGTAATGGTAGCCGCTCTCTCTAAACGCAGCAAAATGCTTCTAATCATAAGCAAATTCAGAGTTCCCAGGCCCTTCACATGGAACCTGGCTGACACCTGCCCAGGAGCCACGACTACATCTTTGGTTGTGCTGTACAGCTGCTTCAACACACACAACTGTAGCTCCTACACTGCTGCAGTGAAATCACCAGCCTTCTTACTCTTAAATAGAATGAGAATATGACCAAGATAATAGAAAGCCAAAAATTTTTAGAACAGAGAGGCTCCATTGGCTATTGCTAACCTTGATAGAATAAAAAAAAAGTAGATTTCAGTTATACTTAGCTTCAGTGGGCACTGTCAGTATTGCTTTTAAAAATTAGACTTCATCAGAGGACACAAGCATCTAAGGCCATCCAGACCATGAGGAGTTACAAGATGATTGTGCCTCAGGGTCTTTACCCTTGAGAGCCGAATTTCAAATGTGTTTATCTTCTGCACATCTTCAAAGAAAACAAGTGTAATACAAAAATGTATGAACTATGTGAAAGGGAAAGGAGTAGATAAGTAAATAAGAGGAGATGAGAAAGAAAGTAGAAAGAAAAGAGAATGTCAAAAGAAAGAATGAGACAGCTGTCAAGAAAAAAAGGAAAATACATGTCAAAAGAGGTGGCTTAGCAAGAAAAACAGGTAGCCAGACTAAGTGAATCTCACAGCTGAATCTTTTCCTTATTAACTAAGTTCCTTTATCAGTGATTCTGCAAGAACTACTCACACATTATGGAAAGCATACTCAAGGGAAATGATTAAACCATGATTAATGCAGCACTCGGCCTGAAATTTGTAGCTCATTTTCTTAGGAGAAATATTTGCAGGAGTGTTACGCTGTTAGAAGAATATTTGGACAGCACAGATGAGCAGTGCTAGGACTGGAGCAGCCAGAGGTAGCAGGCAGCCCTTTTATAAACCCAACCATGTATGCCAGCTCTTCAGGGATTTGTGCTGGTGTCCTGAAGGTGTAGCACCAGGTATGGACATATCCAGGGTGAGTGCCCAGCCCTCCCTGATCAGGCAGGTGCATGGGAATAGAGATGAAAGGAAAGCAGACTTTCTTGAAGTTGGATGATTGCCAATATACTGGAAATGTAAATTCCCTTGCCTTCTATTTCTTTTGAGTATGAAAGGACAAATTTCATCTTTGCTTTCATGCTGAGAGTGTGCTATTGACTCCAGATGCATTTTGATTCATCTTCTCTACAGACAGTTTTTTCCATATACATGTAACATTACAGAATGATGGGGTTTTCCATATACATGTAACATTACAGAATGATGTCTCTCTTGCAGTAGTGTTATTACCTATCTAAGCTGGGCCAGAATTTCAAAGTGGAAGTGGAATACTTTTCATGCTGCTTATTTAATTTCTATCTGGTAAATACTTTATGTATTCTGTCCTTCTGTTTGAAGAGCATGAAAAGAAATATTGTGTATCTCATTACAAGAGAGAGAGGAAGTTGAAATAATGGCGGAGAGAAGGATGTAGGGTCTGTCGTGTCTGTCCAAATGGAATTTATCTAAAAATCTTAGTCAACATATTGGATATCTTGAATAATGTATCCTAAACTGCATCTTCTAGCTGTTGGTGCTAAATGAGCTTTCAAAAGGCTGGAGCGTGTTTTTACTCTCTAAAATAAATAAATACAAATTAGGTTTGATTGGGAAAGCTCAACAGATGGTCTTCTGTGAATCCTTACAAGTCAGCCAGCTTTTAAAAGAACAGTGGAGCAAGAGGCATGGGTGGGGAGGTTCACGCATCTAATTTCTTTTCTGTAACCAATATCCTGTGCCAGGCTGATAATGGTCTCCTGGGCAGCCTCCTGCCACTTCTTCACAAGTTACAGGGACATATCACCATAGGCTTGAATGACTGAGCCCTTTGCAACAGCTGCTTGGGTTGAATAGACATCTGATGCATAAAAATCTTGTCCCAGGGTGTACAAATTACAGGCAAACAAGCCAGGAAACCGTGATCCCAATCCTCCTACCACTAACTCCAAGGTCTGAATTGAGTAGGCACCAAACAGGGAAAAACTTCAGCTGTTAGGAGGGTTCCACTTGATACACAGTGGTTTGGGGTTTTTTTTAATACAGAACTTCAGTTCTCAAACTGCAACAATTAATTATAAAAGATTTTTAAAAAACCCATTTAGATATTACATTTCAATCCTCTCATTTCTCAAACTGAAAGTATGATCCCTCTCTGAGCTTCATGGCTCTCAAGCACCAGTTAGCACAGCAGAAGTTGCATTTAAAATGGTCTTTGCCTGAGAGAGGCTGCAAAATTCTTCTACCTTTTAATTGAGTCAAAATGAAGACAAGCATACCTTCACACAATTTCTGTTCAAAACTCATCAGGAAACTAAAAAATACAGTGTGGTTAAATACTGTTTGACTTCAAAGACAAGCATCTACAAGAAAACAGAATAAATTACTGAATATTTAACTGATGAGCTTTAATAAATTTTGCTTCAATTGACATATTTTGGATACTGAAGGTTTTAACTGAAAGACTTCATAAGGTCAACTGCAAGACTTTGTAAGACAAAGGAGTGGTTTATGTCTGGAGCAGATTTATTAAAATACTGTTTCTATGCATGTATATGTGTATGCATAAATCCCTGCATTTATGTATCTATCAATGTCATGCTAATTCTAGACATGCTAGAATTAATAGTCAAAAATAGTAGAAGAAGATACCTTATTGCTGAGATGATCAATTAGTTAAAACATATATTTTTAGACTGAGATTAAAACCCCACAATGGTTGATATTTTTTTCCCTCCTGTGTAGGTGGTAAAAAAAGGTAGAGAATGAAAGGTATGAATTAAACTACACCCTATAGGTTTTCATCACCTCCAACACCAATCACTTGGCTGCTTCCATATAATTTTGGCTGACACTGTAGCTTTAATTAATTTTTAAGAGCAGTTCATCATTCCAATGGAATGGACAATGCTTAAAACTATACTCTTTTTGTCAGAATAAATAAAAAATATTTACTATTTATGAAATAGTCTTATAAAATGCATGCAGATTAAATCCACAAAAGTTTTTTATGTGCAATGACAGTCCATAAATGATGAAAAGTAAAAACATAGCATTTGGTACAGTGTGATTTTAGACCTGTTTTTTTCCTCAATTCTTTAGTGAAGATGTGGTGTTTAATAAAATCTATGTTCTCAGGATACTTGTATAGAATCAAATTAGTCAGTCTTTATATAAGAGTTTAACTAAAAATGTCATGTTAATTCTGATATAGTTTACATGTAAATCATCTGGAATACACAAATTCTTGAGAATAGTGGCCTTTGGTGGTGCCATTCATCTGTGCTTTGTAGCACTGCTTTGAATAAGTGGGGTTACCCACTTTGGGAGAGGTTCTTTGTGTTCTTACTCTTTCATGAACTACTTTTATAAGCACTTCTGAAGAAAATGGTGAGAAATGATGGTTGGGTTTTGACCAAGAGGGTGTCCGACTTCATTTCATTCTTCCCAAGTCAGAGAGATGGGCACTTAGTGTGGGAAATGTCCTGTTATTAGATTGTCCTTGCTAATTTCAATAATCAAGTTTTTACTTATTGAATAAATGATGTTAGGGGAGGTTGAGGGATTCTCAGCAGTGACACTTTGCTGATGGATGCTCAGAGGTTAGAAAGCAATTAGATTAGCTAACCTCTGTTGGTCCTTCCCTTCCCAGAATCCAAATTGTCTATTTAATCCACTCAACACTGTTCACTCTTACCAGAAAGTTTTTCTGAATGTTTAATCTGAACCTCCATTGCT